ATTGGATAATCCATATATGTATGAGGTCACTCTTAACATTCCTACTACACTAAGGATTTTAAAGGGGTAGTTTTGAACGTTCAAGACACGAGCAAAAAACCTTTACACTTCTCCATCAGAGTGCATCTGAGCAACAAGTGGATGTAACTCCAAGTTTCAGGTTGACTCACCGTAAATCTTCGTGCTTGCTATGCATCTAATCTTTGTGCTAGCTATGCATGTTTTCGATTCCATTCTATTTATTATTATTCTTAATCCCTAACATTAAACATGCATGAAGATCAAATTAATACAGGCAATTCTGGAGGCAAAAGCACATTTAAAAAACGCTAGCACAAATTGGTAAATTTTTGAACAGTATACTTGAAAAGACTATTATATGACCTACCAATGAATGCTTATATATGCCTTTTAAATTAATGTTGAAACAGAAACTAAGGCAACGACATATTCTCTTGAACAGCTTCCTTTGCTTAATAGCCAACCATTCAGAAATTCATTACAGGATTTTGGTCCCGACCTACAGCAGACACCACTACAGTATATATGGTCTGTGATGCACTGGCTGTGATAAGGTTAAACAAATAAATCAGCCCACAACTTCTTTTTTTGCAATATATAAACTACCAGGTAAAAATCACAAGCTAACCAATAGCTAAATTCAAGGAAAGTTGGCTGCTAGGGTTATTGGGTTTTCATCACACTTTATCAAGTCTCTCTAGTTATCTAGTCTATATAAAGGAGTCTGACGGGGGGCTTTTTGTATGGTGCAAGAGACAAAACACAGAGGTGTGAGGTCTCTTTTGTAAACTTCTTCCTTCTCAGTTTTACTAAAATATCATCTCAGTTAGTAAAAAATCAGCAATAGCGGAAGTAGTTCTCACATCAAGGTAAATCACTATAAATATGTGTGTTTCTATGAGTACATTTCCGTTCTTGTATGTTCATTATTGCTCTCAGGTTTGAGGTTGGGTTTAATCCATAACATGTATGCTCAATTAATAGCATCAGAAGATTAGCCAGAAAAATATATGATAAATAATTTATGAAATTGCAACCACAAAGGATCACATAAATCAAACAGAAGACTGGAATTATCAAACTTCATTACCTGTAAATCAAGTCCAGATGCGACATCTTTATTGGATTCAGTGGTTTCGTACTCAGGAATCGAAGCCAAACCCAACGTTCCCTTTTTATGCTTTTTCTGATGTTTAATCTGCAGAGTCCTGGTTAGTATGACTGGTGCTCGCGAAAAGCTTCCCGCAACACAAACTTCTATAGTAGGTGAAAACAATTCAGCACTCCTTATCTGTTTGCCCTTCAGAAATCCTGTGCCAGGACTCATTACCGATTCACAGTCCATGCTCCACCTATGTGTTGTGTTGTTTGATTCCCCTATCAAACCATTACCATTAGGCAGTTCTAGAACTCCAAAGAGCACAAGATCCTCTCCATCAAATGCTTCAAATTTTGTACTCCCCGTAAATCTTATACTATCCGTGCTGACAAATGTAACCTCTTCGGATTTCTTATATGCCCGATCCCTTCGAAGAAAAAAAGAAACTCATTCTTAGTCAATCGAACATCTTACACCATTCACTTC